AGAATTCCCCAGCCAGCATTCTGGGAGTTGAAGTCCACTCATCTTAAAGTGGCCAAGTTTGGACAACACTGGCTTAGTGTGATTCCAGGCCCTGTGTTTGTAAATGTGGGCTGGGTGCCTACGACATGCTTAAACAAGTCAGGTAGACACTTAGCAGTTACGTGAACTTCTTTAGCACTAACCAAGGTTTGATTTTCTGTGGCTTAACTTTTTCTTTGTGAACCTAGCCTTTTTTGTTAGTTTAGGATTCAGGGGATTGTGTGAACCTGGAAAATGACCCGTGTTAGCAAACTGTGTACATGCATACATGGTGTTCTGTGATACCAACTAGCTGTGGCTTATGTAATAAATAATGTGTGAAGCCAATAAATACATCTATTCTGCCAGCGGGTTTGCACCATTAACACATCTGACTAGTTTTATCTTTCTCATTTCACAGAAGGGGCAGAATCCTCAAAGCAGAAGCTCCCTGCCTTCTTATGGTGCGTCCCTTGGGGCAGAAGGGAGGAGCATTTTCACACAGATGCAAATTTAAACGAAGGTAAGGAGGTCTTGGGAACTCTTGGGTGCGGTGAAAGAATTGCCATTGGCTGCATTCCCACAACATGCTTAACCTGGATACTGAATTAACCCATTTTCTGGAATCACAATACAGTGGGATCCCTAGGAATGAATAAACTCTGAAGAAGCTGAGCCTTGGAAGGTGGGTTCACACAAAGCCTTCAGCCATAACTGAATTGTTTGGTTTATTTATTTCGAGATTTATAAAGCCGCCCAATTCAGACAGTGTGACTCTGGGTGGCATACAACATAAACACACAATAAATCAGGAAGAAAACATTTTAAAAAACAATAAGCAGACAATACATACATTCAAAATCTAAAATCTGGTTGTGGCTTAGGGCAGGCTGTGATCTCAACTATTGTGATTTAGCGGGATATGGAACAGGCCATTATAGTTTGCCCAAATTAAGGTTAAGCCATGGTTTAGTATGCTGTTACCTGGAGAAGTAGCCCTGAGTGGTCTGGAGCTTAGTTAAAGGGCACACTTTGTCAGCAGAACCCCCCAAGTTCTTCCCACAATGAGCTCAGAAGGCCTTCTAGATCAGTGTTTCTCAACCTCAGTCATTTAAACGTTGGCTGGGGAATTCTGGGAGTTGAAGTCCACCCATCTTAAAATGTCCAAGGTTGAGAAATGCTGCTTTAGGTGATCCACATGTAAAACTGCGCATGCCTTTATAATGTCCTTCCCGAACCAGTGCTCTTTTTCCCATTGTAGATGCCCTGCAAGACTTAGAAGAAGCCATAGCTTTGACCAGCATTGCGCCCAACGGGAACTGTGAAGTGGCCTCGGGGGGGTTGGACACTTAAGAGCCCCTGGTTCGTTGCTGCTCTGGTGGGCTCTCTCATCTCTTTCCGGAAGTAAAAAAATTCAGGACTGAGATCATCCTCACAGGCTCCGTGAAGGAAGCAGCTAGAAGCTCATCTGCTCTGTGATAGTCTGCTCCGGAGCCATTTTTGCAGAAGAGATGCTGGCTCGTGCCCTTTCATCGCTTCATCGTTCTTGTTCCCTGGAGAGCCAGAGAAGCAGCTCTTTCTGTTCTTAGGCACATGACGATGGGTGCTCTCCTCACAAAAAGGATGCCATTGGAGTTCTCGAGTCTCCCATTGGAAGAGGCACCGTATTTTTCCACAGGTTGTGGTGGGTGTCGTACAAGGGAAACATCAGCATGTCATTCTTGCCAGATCTGACTTCTGTTTCAACTTGTCTGCTTCGTTCAAGGATCACTGTCTTTAGAAATCATCTGCAGGATGAGAAATCTTTAAGCTTGGAAGGAAAAGAGGAACAGTTGCTGGTGTTTTGGAAAACTTTCCCCTTTATTCTGTCCCTGAATGTGGTTTCTGGTGGCAAAGAAATTCTGCTGCACTCTTAATGAAGGTACCCCAGCCAGTGTTGTCCAAACTTGGCCACTTTAAGATGAGTGGACTTCAACTCCCAGAATTCCCCAGCCAACGTTTAAATGAC